ACAGACAACCTCTCGTCAATATGCGTTTTTTGCATTGCATAACTGCAAAAAACGCATAAAAAGCATGCGGGCAAATGAGTGGTGAATGAAGCGTGGCTCCAGGATGAGGGCGTGCCGCCATGCCGTGGTAAGCTGCTTGTGCTGGCAAAAGACAGCTAAATGAAAAGGCATGTTCAGTATACTGATGTAGGTGTGTTGGGAAACTAAAAAGGCTAGCTTTGCTTAATGATGACGATCCGGAACTGAAGGCCAACAGTGCTCAACAAGACGGGCGGCCGTGCAGTACTCGCATTCGTCGGCGTCTGGCTACAGCTCACACTAGCAGTCGGAGCTTTTCAGCAGTAATCTGGCGAACTGAGTGGTCCTAATGAAACGAGCAATAGACGCTAGCGTGGAATAGTACTTGGGACTCATCAGTGGTTGGGTTCACGTTAATGCATTTCGAAAAAAAAAGCACTTGAAGAACATGGAGGGATACGCTGTGGTAAGGTGCTGAGCAGTCATTTGAGTTGGCGTGAGCAAGAGAAGTGAAGTTAAACGCATTTATCGGTCGAATGCTGTGGAAAAGTGTGATGAAATGATGCCTGAGGAACTGGATGCTGGTCCTCAGTAGGTCTATTTGTGGAGGGATGCGAGAGGCAGATCCAGAGTAGCGGACGGGGTAGGTGCGTTCCATCAGATGGCCAGTGCGCTATGCACTAGACGTACCAGATGGTGAATTGTCCCAGTGCCGCAAATGTTCAAGCGAATGAACCACTGACAATGTTCTCGAAGATTATTTCAGACACGCGGATGCACGTGGTCTGGAATGTGTGCTTCTGGTGGGCTGTTTCCGAGATATAACTGGGGTTGCAACGCACCAGAGCTGGTGCGAACATGCGCTTTTGCACTATTTCGTGCTGTAACAAAATCTCAAGGGATCGCAGTAGCTAGGATTTGTGACATACTGGCCCTCAAAGTTAAGTTAATTGCACAGCCGTGTGGCATGTCAGTTGCAGATGTCGGCTTCAGTGACCCGACAAATGGAAAGTTGCTTGTGCGCGAAACAGATTCCAGTTCAAGAGTTGAATTTGAAATCTTTTAGTTGCACATGAACAGGGAGCATTGCCTTAAAGTTTCAGGTTTCTAGCTTTTCTCGCTTCCGGGCTGGCAATTTTCCCACCGAAAATTTCACGTGTCTGTAT